GTTAAGTTGTATAAAAAAAAAAAAAGAAATAAAATGAAACGTAGCATTATAACTTCTTGTAATCAAAATAACTTAAAATGCCTATTACTCTGTTACCCCTTTTTGGCTGGTATAATAGTGTAAAAGATCTCCTAAACACAGATAGTCAAGACGATTAAAAATGTTTCTTTGATGGTTCTCCAAAACAACTGGTTTTCATACCTTTTCTCTTGTTTTTAACACCACACGGAGAGAAGAGACAGTGCTCTATCCGTGAATTTGCAAAGTTAAGCTTAACTAGAGCAATGTAGCACCCTACATCCTGTTTTGTCAAAATAACATCCCGTTTTTCAAAATAAAACCCAAAATACTTATAAGCGTAAAATAAAGATAAACATTGCTCAGAAATGACTAAAATTAAATTGTTACCCCCCTTTCTAGCCTGGTTACAATAGGTTTTTCCTTTTTTTTCTAAAGCTGTCTCCAAAACTGTCAAATGTTTTCCCCATAATGTTAAAACAAACGGATGAAATAAAATAAAATGTAGCATATGCATCATATCATTTTAGCACGTCATCGTATCATTTTACTCGCGCAGCTATATGTGTATATTTGTGGACCTCTGACCTGTCTGCTCCTGACCAGTCAAGCCCTGTTTTTCCACCATTCCGTGTATCCTTCCGTGTGGTCGCCATGACGCTGTTCCTTCTGGAGTTAAAACAGCAGAAACTTCTCCCCTAGGGAGCTATTAACACAACTGTAGCAAACTTCTTTTAGCTTGTTTCTTAAAATGGCATTTTGCAACTTTCTTGAGACACACATCCCTCTCACAGTGGCCACCAAGCAACAAGCATCTAAACACACATAGAAGTCCGGCCTTTATCTGGGTACACAAAGCGTTTTTAAGTGGGAACTCTTCCCTGAAGGAAAAACCACGATAGATTAACGGTTTTAAGATTAAGACCCCCAGACCATTTATTGCATGGTCGTAAACCTTTGTATGCCTTTTGGTTGCCAAACCAGATGTGACCTCGGACCAAAGGGCTGGTATCCTGATGTGAATTGTATCCTGTTTCCTTTATCTGTTTGAGCATCTGTCTTCTTTGTTGTGGGCTGAGTATAAGGACTCACACACTCCGTCCACTGAGCTTCCCTGTAACAGACTGCATTAGACACTCTGTTCAGAGAAACCTCCTTCCTGCAGGAATATGTAATAACTTTCAGAATTGATGTTAAGTATTTATTTTACACTCACTGAGCTTTAAAAGATATTTTTTCCACAACACCATTGACTGCTCATCAGAAACATACAGCTCCAGAACCAGGGATACCTGGATAAAGATGAAACACTCAGATTCCCGGCTCATTATTTCGGGGGATTTTAACAGAGCAAATCTTACTCCAGAATTGCCCACGAATTCTGTTTTTGAGGCCGCAGCTACAGGCCTGGCTGAGTATACTGACACAGTGCCATCATATATTAGCTTCTGTGAGGACATACTGTACGTGTGCCATTAAGACTCTGTGCATAAACAATAACAATAAACCCTGGTTCACAGTGAAGCTCAAACAGCCCTGTCATACCAAAGGCCTACAGGCGTAGGGACAAGACTGTGAATAACCAGGCTAGAAACACATTGACAAAGGAGATCAGAGTATCAAAGAGGAACTACTCTGAAAGGCTGAAAAATCCATGTCTGACCAACGAGCCATCATCAACGTGGAGGAGGAGTCTATGGAGCATCACCGGGTACCGGAGACTCAAATGTGACTTTAGCGGGGCACAGATCAATACTGGGGCACATGCCCCACTAGAAGGGGTCAGTGCCATTTTCAAATTCTTTAGGAAATAAATCACACATAGCATTTTAAAAAAACCAAGCTGCCTTAAGATTTATTACAATCTCATTAATAAAAAAAAAAAAGTAATTAACATTACACCTTTTAGGTCAAGGCAGTAATATTTTATGACCCAGTGTTGTAAAAGTTTTGATGTTATGGCTTTCATCCTCATCAGGTGGAAGTTTCGAAAGCCTTCTGATTTTTGCTTCACTTCTAAAAACTCTTCGCAAAACTTAAAAAGAATCATCATCTATGATTTTTTGGAAGGTGGATGCAATTGCTTTCACAGAAAATGTACATTAATTCCTGCCACGTATACCATAAAAAACATCAAATACATGCACAAATTAAAACTAATCTTTCAAAGTTTGCTTTAATTTTGCCACCAGGCCTCATATGCCATGACTTTCCTTCAATTATGATTACAAAAAAAGAGGCAAACATCCAATAAACAAAGCCATAACTTTATAATTTCATTTCACAAATCTTGTTCAAAATGTATGGTTTGTATGTGGCCAGCTCTAACCTGCAGACAAAACAGATATGTCAGGCATCTCCTCAGTAAATAAGTGTCATATGTTACTGCTACAGGAATGCAGGAGGGACAAATGTATTAACTAGCTTCTGTATTGAATGTGGCTATACACACCATGCATTTTGTCTCAGGCAATACAAAACATAAATGAGAACATATCCTCTGACTCCTACAGTACTGATGCAATTGCAGTGGGTTTGAAATTTCCTACCAAGTACTGAACCTTACACACCACTGTTCTGCATAGATCCACAGTTCCATCATTTCAACAGATGACACCGACTGCCTTGTCAGGACAGTGAGCAGTCAGTGTCTCCATCAAGGACAGCTGATATTAAACCTGCGACTTTCATGCCACGCTGAAATGACATCCTCTTTTTAAGATACCTGTAAAAACTAAACTCATCTATGCACACCAAGTCTGTGGTCCCAGTGCCCTTCAATATCCAGGTGTGCTGTTCAAGCTCCTTATTGTGGGCAAGGATTAGGTGTGTCTCAAGGTTTATCACAGTGCGAGTTAACAATTCAAGAAAAGAAAAGAAAAGAAAAAAAAGACTGGCAGGGAGCAATTGTCCTGATATGTGCATGAATCCTCTTTTTCAATGTTCACAATAAATCAGCTCTAGGCCCATCTGTTCCTCTAGATTGAGGAGACTTTGTCCCAGCTGCCCTGATGTAACACCTGCATGTGCTTCTGCCACTGAGAAACCCCCAGTGCCTCACAAAACAACCTTCAGGATCCCAGTCGCTCTCGGTCAAGGTTCCTCTTCTGGAAGAAGGCCTTTCCAAATTCATAGGAGCTTATCATAACAGCACAGGCCGGGGCCACTTTGATCACCCTGGGCATAAAACCTGGAGACAACACACAAAGATGTTTTTACTTTAGTTTCAGCAAAACAAATACTGTATTTTCACTTAATACAAGATAGCATAAGTGTGTACCTGCAAAAAGGCCCCTGTAGCCCAACTCGGCCCATATTTGCTTCATTATGTGCCATGTGGATGTCGTTTTCTTTAAGGAAACTAGAAGAAATGGGGAAAAGCTAGTATTAGGAAAAGTCCACATTGCATAGAAAATAAGCAAATACATTTCACACTTAATATTAAGTCAGTGGATGGGTGAGAGTCTTTAGCAATCCCATGACCGGATTCAATACTAATCCTTGGTGCCACAGTTGAATTCAGAATCAAGTCTGGATTTAATAAAAAGAAAGGGGGGGCACTACATGTGTGAGGGATGTACGAGTATGCAGCTTTCTATTCAACTACAATAATTTGGAGACATCTTGTAATCAACATCACTGAAACAGGCTATGGACTGAGTTAAATATTTTAGGAGAGGTGGACAGGAAACAGGGAGACAGAGGTGAAGACCTGCGACAAAGGTCAGACTCTGACTGCCAACGTCACACACATACCGTGCACCACAGTGTTACCATTCAGCTGTCAGGGTGCCCTAAATATTTCCTTTTGTAAAGTGATGTGTTGGTCAGCCAGTCTCACTTGTTAGTCCTGAGTTCGGTGCTCTGCTCTTCAAACGACAGTTTGTTGGTGATGGGGTACAAAATACTTCCCCTTTGTCTTGCAAAGTTAATAATTAAGTAATTAAATCCAAAATAAAGACAAATGTTATCTTTTTTGTAAATGAATTAAAAGATTACTTTAATACATATGCATCTGCATGTTGCACCATCCATGCAGTTCCATTAACATAAATGTTATGAACATGATTACTATGCATTCTTTAAAAAAAATGCCAGATGTCATTTATTCAATTCATGCACATAAAAGGTAACAAAATCGATTCCTACATGAATTGATTTTTTTTTCACCCTCCTCTAAAAGGTAACAAGTGCCTACATCCGTAGAAACAGACCTCCCAGTGTATCCATCTCCCCCAGCTGGATCTGTCTTCTTGTCTTCACCACGTCAAAAGGCAGTGTCAGGATTGCAGCAATCTAAACACCACGACAAACATGAACAGTGATATCCTGGACAATACACAGACAGGTGCAGTCTATAGTTACACGTCACACCCTTTGATGTTATCTGTGCATGAAGGATAGCTATTCATAACCAGGAGAGCAGCTGCTTAATCTTTGCTCATGAAATACGATGCTGTGGATATGGGTCAGACACTGGCCTGATTATCTGAACATATCCCCGACAACGCACTCAAGAACAACCTATGAAGAAATTTAAGAAAACACTTGCCAAGATGTTTGTGAATGTGGCCCATTGTGTGTTGCAGCAGAAGGTAAGTTGTGTGTTACCACCAATGGCGAGTACTCACAGCTCCAGAGACAGCTCCTGCAGTAAAGCTGATGGAGAAGTTGGCCTGAGGCAACTGGGACTGTTCACACAGCTGGGACTTGACCAGTTCATAGTTAAACCAGTACAAAGCTGCAAGCACACACACAAACAAGGGCATTTTTTCCCCAGCTTGTTGCTTTGCTTCTCATTAGTCATTTTAGACTTTGCCAAATAATAAGCAATGTGACAAACTACTCTTATTTCTGTTGGTGCTCTTGTTTTTTTTGTTTGTTTTTGTTTTCCCTGTTAAAGTGCATTTGGGGAGTTTTTCTTTTGGTTAGCCAAACTGAGGATCTAAAGATAGAGGCTGTTGTATACTGTACAGATTGAGGCAAATAAGTGTTTTGGGATATTGGCCAATATAAACAAAACAGTTGCCATCAGTAGGTGCCATAGACAAACAGAACACAAACATTTCAAATCAATCCCTTTGCAGATGCTTCTCTGCTGCCCAATTCTATGCTCAAAAGAGTTTCAAGAATGCAGCTAGTACAACATGGAAACAGTGTGTTAAGCAAGCACCGGATGAGAGGATGAAAGATGCAAGAGTAATCTGACAAGTTTCTATGGGGGATGACACATTTTCCCAGTGTAATTCTAACCATGATGACATTGGGTTTTCACAGTCACAGCCAGGGGACAGGTATTTCATATAGTTGGGTTTCTTTCTCCAAAACCCACTCAGCAATGTTAAATATGACTCATCTTTCAGAGATCATTAAATGATACTGTATTCTGTGGTACTGCCCTCACCAGAGAAGGGCACGTCTCTGAGAACAGTGGGTCCCCAGCCCCTCCACAGTGACAGCAGGCCATCCTGAGCCACGGCAGAGCGGACACACACTCGCAGCTCACTGTACGACAGCCGACTAGACTGCATCTTAGTCCTGAACAGCTCCAGAGGGCTGATCACTGTCACAGCACCCACTGTAGGAAGTCAAAAAAGCTGTTAACATATTACAGTCAAGACAAGTATGTGTGCTTGTGCTTGTAATGGACTTACATCTGGCCAGAGCACCAGCAACAAGGGGGATATGGGTGCCCTGAAAACCCAGACTGTATCTCAGAAAGTCCCGCAGCTGGTCGTAGCAGGTGAAGTAGATGACAGTGGCAGGTACTGCCATGACCCTACACTCACACACAGACACAAATAAACAAGGGATTCAAGGGCTGGACACCCCTTCCATATCAACAGAAACTTTCCACATCAACAAATATGTAAATCTGTCACTTGCATTTTGGCCTTTTATTAAATAATTGAACACATAAAGGCTCCTTCCTGACAGCTGCTGCTTAAAAACCATCTGCAAAAACGTGTACTATAATAAAATTATTTGAACATTATCATGATTTGTTCAGAGCACTTTCTAAATGAACATTCAGAATTGAATGGATTTAAATAATAAATATTAGATTTATAAAGGAAATACTCCAAGTAAAACAATGGTAAAATACCAAATATCAGAGTAAAGTGGTTGTCGGCCACTTTCAGTGTTGCTATGCACTGAAGCCCCATACCTTATTCACTCTATGCTGCTCTTCAGTTCTGACACATTTATTCTCCAAGTAATTTCAACATTTTCTGGACAAGAGTTTTGATACTCACAGTGTTGGCGGCAACCCGCTCCACAAAGACCTGAGTCCTTCATAGCGAGCGATTTTCACAAAAGCATCCTGTGGCACAAGCAAGCAAACAAATGTGAAAAATCTCAAATCATATTCTGGGGAAAATAAACTGTAATTAAAACAAAGCTGCCTATGTGTGCAGCCCCTATGCTAGTACTCACAAGAGTCCCACTGAAATGTGTTGATGTTTTATACCAGCTGGTGGAACTGGTTCTATTCTGACAAACATAGATGTGATCCATCAGTCCGTTACAATACAGGAAGCACTTCCCTGTAAGAAACAGAACCAGCAGTTGACAGCGTATAATAACTGCATGGCCCAGGTCTTCAGATTTTCCAGACGATCACAAAATAATTTATTAAAAAACAACTTTGTGGTGCAATATATCAGTGTAATTAGAATGACAAAATCTGTAGTATCCATGTTTTCTAAAGTGAGTTACACAACAGAGGAAGGTGATTAATAATACTGTACATATGATGGCAACAACCAAAGAGCCACTGCCAAGGTAACACCAGGGCTGTCCTTGTCACCGCTTACCCTGCCTGTTTATTTAAGGCTGGTTTGGGATAAACTGTTGCCAAAACCCTCAAAGAATCATTTCACAACCTGATCCTAATTGTAGTTTCACAGTAGAACAGTTACAAACAATATAATTGCTAACGATGCTTTGCCTTGCAGTATCAAATCAAGTCAATCAAACTTATGTATATAGCACTA